ATTGGGGGGGTCCATGTAGAGATGTGCAATAACAGGCAGAGATGTTGCTCACAGGAGACCAGTCTACACCGTCTGCACAGCCTCAGCAGCTGCACGGCAGCCAGGCAACAGGTGGAGGGGAGACAGGTCCCATACGTGCCACCCCTTCCATGTGGCGTTGCTCTCGGATCATGCACATGCAGCGAGATATTCATCCAACGGTTTTATCCTCTCTGGAAGGCATAGTGGATCAGGTGAGTGTCAGGGCATTGGAATTTTGGTGTTAACCCCTCAAAACACATGCACTTCTGGATGAATTAGTTAGAAGAGAAAAGATTCTGCTCACAGTCTTCTTGATTGTGGCAATGCCAGTGATGCCACCTGTCATTTTATCCTGTTTGGTTTGGTGTGCATTTTTGTTGGCTTGCAAAATCAGTGAAACCCCGATTTAGCGTTTCTTTTGGGAGCAGTGGATTTGAGCAATGAACTGAGCAAGACCTTAAATGGCAGAAATCCAACACAGATTATTGACTTGGGCTCATTGAAATTGAATGTTAATGAGGGACAACCTTACGTGGGGACTCTGCTCTATATCACTGCTGCATGCTCTTTAATGCACGTACTTGTATGTGTACAGCAAATCTGTCTTGTAGTCAGATTCAGAAGAAAGATCAGCCATTAAGACAGGACAGAATTTGGAGTGTGGCACATGACACGCTGCTAGTTATGAACCATTTGTCAACAAGTCAGTTTATAAATGATACAAACTCCATCCTAAGTACACGTAGTACAGAAAAGCAGTGGCACTCACACAAGAAGACTACATTAAATAACACCTGTACAGTGTGAAAACAAGAACTAGCCGCTCCAGCACTTAGACATAGGGCGAGTAACCCTAAGAATTTTAAATTTTAAATTTAAAATTTAGAGAAAAAATTTTAAAAGGTTTTAAAACATCATAACTAAAGATTTTTAGAGTGCTACTACAAGAATATCGGGTTTGACATGTGCAACATAATCTACATAGCAGACACATATCAACGATGTAGATGTTGATAATACGAAGAATGTGACATTGTGTTTTTAAATGTTAAGTTTTAGACTGGGTTCAGTGTGGCAGAAACGTTAAGAGTATACACCTGATGATGGCCGATAGAGGCCGAAACATGTAGTGTAGAAAGAACAAGATCAAAGACATATAAATATATATTGTTTGCACTTAGGACGGAGTTTGTATCATTTATCGTGTAGAGTGCAACAGGATGCTTAAATATAATATTGTAAGTCAGTTTATATTGAGTAGTTGCTAGATAGATTTTTTTTAAATGAAAATCTGATCTTCGCTCAACTAGAAGAGATCAGGGTAAAGTAATGAACTACGAATCCAGGTCACAGCATGTTCAGATTAAAAGTTAATTAATAGTTTACATAATATTTTGTAAGTTTTGTTCTCAGTTTCCTAAAGCAGACTGAGCTGCCCCATAACTCACTCTCCCTCAGTAAGTCACTGTGGGTGAACAGTTCACTAACCATGTTTATTGTGTGTCTAGATGGTGTGGTTCCGAGAGAACTGGTATGAGGAAGTGTCTCGACAACTGCGACAGGGGCTTGCAAAGTGCCTTGCTATTGCTTTTGAGAACAGAGGGGCAGTGAGCGAAGCCACCATCACTCCCCACACGCTGAACTTTATTAAGAAGCTTGTGTCAACGTTTGGAATTGGTATAGGTAGGAGACTGTGATGGTATCATTTGGTCTGTAATTGCAGGTGACTTGTTATACAAGTCTCCACGTATATTGAAAACACATGAACACACAGTGTGGTGCTGAAGGAGTACGAGTCGACATGACTGAGTCAGACTGGTAGGACAAGTCAAACATTATGCATGCATAGCTGACTGGACACGTTGATTTCCTGGTGTCACTGTATTAATGCCATCGGGTCAGGTTCGTTGCAGGTCAGGAACAGCCTCTATCACACACTGTGGTAACGAGCCTAACCAAGCCCATGTTCTGCAATATATTTTAGAGCAAATGTCTGATGTATTGGGCATGGGTGTTCCAGAAAATATCTCCAGTTCAGTGAGTGCACAGTTCAGCAGTGCAGCGTCAGAGAGCCTTGCAAGCCGAGCTCGCGCAACAGTGCAGGATCCTGTATTCCAGATGATGAAAGTGCAGTTCACAACTGACTTTGACTTTGCCGTGCCTGGCTCCATGAAGCTGCAGAACCTCATTGTCAAGCTCCGCAAGTGGATCCAGATTCTGGAGACGAAAGTGAACACCCTGCCAAAGTGAGTCCCTCCTGCTGATGTATGTCTCATGTAGAAGTGCGGAACAGTCCTCAGTCATGTGCACATCTCATGGTCCTGTACTGAGAGACCATTTCTTTAAATGAAATCACTTCATCATGCAGGCACATGAACCTAGGTGCGAAACAGGTAGGGCCCCATGTGGGGCTATCATGTGCATGTAATGTAACGATAACAAAAATTTTAGTTTGAAGGTTATTGGTATTGGTTATTGGAATGTAATGCCCTGTAATCTGATATAGGTCATTAGAAACGTTTTGGAAGATTATTGCCTCCATCTTCAGGGTAGAATAAGTTACTGTCCTACCTTGAAGATGGAAGAAGCACATTCCTCTGAAAGGTTAGTAATTATCTCCCAGATTACACAGTGTCACTATGCAGGAGACAGCAATCTCTGCAGTCACCACTGGGAGGACTTACCATCTCTCAAATCTATGGTTCTTTTTTGAAGCATTTTCTGCATACCGTCCAACAAAAAAACTGGTACAGTTACTGTGTTTCTGGACATTATCCATTGTCCTGTTTTTTTTAAAACAACCAAGTTTCAGAGACTGGATTCTGTCTCCGTCTTCAGGCAGAAGCTCCTCAGTTGTGCCCAATCGATGGAGCTACTCCCTGTGTGCAGACATGAGCACCGACATGAGGTAGGAAGATGGAGACGTAATCCAGACTCTAAAACGTTTTTTTTTTTAAACATAGGCAGGATGATATTTGATGTCCATCGACACAATAATTGCATTAATATACCATAATCACAAACTCTTCTAAATTAAAAAAAATACCAGTTTTTTCTCTTTTTTCCTCTCTGAGGGGCCTTTCCTTTTTGCATCTTTGTTACATGACATGACTAACCAGTGCTGTTGAAAGCCTCCTGTCTTCTGGTCAAGAAAATGCTCTTGTTTATAGATATTTGGTAGGATTCTTTGGATGGGGGATCAGCAGGACCTATACCAGATAACATAATAGACACCCTGCCACTGCCACTGGGATCAGCTTGCTTTTGGAATTCCAGCTTGAATTTTGTAAAAATCTGTTTTTCTCCAAACTGCAAANCAGAAGGTTCCTCCAAAACATTGATAATGCACCTGTACCAGAGTTCATGATGTCACATCCCATAAGAATGCAATCTTAAAAGAATAAAATAGGCGGTCTGAGTTCTCCCTGGTATGCTGATATGCTTACACAAGAAGTGTATGCGCCGTGTGCACTGCTGCAAACTGTGCTTAACATTCAACAGGTCCTTCTTGATCGAAGAGAAGTGCAGGTTCCTCAGCAACTTCAGCCTCCAAACTGCAGAAGTCGAGTTGCCAGGGGAGTTCCTCCTTCCCAAGGTATTGTGTGATGTGCAGCACCATGCATGCTATTAGAAATACAGATACATTTAATCCAGATGTCGCATAATCGCATAATAATGAAAAATGGAAGATGCTGCTTACAGTTAAGTACAGTTTAAAAACATGTGACATTTAGGAAGGTAGATGAGTCACTTGTCTGTTCAGACAAAACTTGACAGTTTCTTCAAACCTTTGTCATTACTTTCAAAAACAAGTACAACTTCTGAGTCTTCTATTGAGGAATAAATGCATTGTTTTTTTAGTTTTTAAATAACATCTCTACAGTGATATTTTTTATTTTCATGAGCATTACTTATGTCATTAAATTTCCCATTTATTTCTTTTTTTTTTTTTTTTCCTTTTCTTTTAGGGCTACCTTTTGCTTCACTAATTCGGATTATTGAGACACAATAGATCACTGTGGTCACGGTGCAAGGGCCAAGAGGGCCCACCCCTTATACATACAATTCGGATTATTGCTTAATCTGGATGACCTCTCCCCCCGTTACTCTGGATTAATGAGGGTTTACTGTAGTTTAAAGGAAAGCAGCTCTATCCTTGACAAAACCCGAGTACGTAGTTATATCGTATTGAAGCATCCAGTTGCACTGTGTATTCCAATTTTAGGGTTCTCACTTCGCTGTCTCTTTGCAACTCCATCCATATGCTGAATTCACACTTCAAGACTCTTTGTCCCTTCTTACTGTTTATTTAACAGCACATGTTTAGGCCTAACTGGCCACCATGAAAACTAATAGCTACATGCAGAAGAAAGGAAAGAAACCAACACACCAGACCCACGACACATATGCAAGCAAAAGTACATTGCTCCTAAAATGCAAGATACAACAGTGTAACAACAGAGCAGCAGTTTTCATCTACAGTCTTACACAGCTGATGAAGGCCACTTAGGCCGAAACATGTGCTGTTAAACAAACAGTAGTTAGTTAGTTATTTAGAGAGGGTGGGTTTCCCCATGCACTGCAACCAGTTTGATCTATTGTGCTTCCCTCTATGATATTCTACCAGTCTCTTTACCCTACCGATAAATGGTGCGTACCATCAGTCCCCCCGAGCAAGCGAGTTCGGCCACTTGCTTAGCGGTGTCTATAATGCTTCCCCCATCTATCAGAGGCCTTAGAGACTATTGTTGGGCGGGAAACGTCCTGGAATTTGGCTCAGTGATCCCCTTCGGGGATATGAGGTTCTTTTACGTGCCGTAAAGTTATGACACGGGACACACAGCTTAAAGTCCCTCCCAGAGGACTTGTTCCCTGAATTTTTCCACCCTTAAAAATTCGACGACCTCCGCCGGGTATTTGAACCCGTGTACCATGAGTCATGAGGTGGGAACGTTACCTCTAGACTACGGAGGTCGCTTAAACAAACAGTAAGAAGAGACATAGAGCTCGAAGGTGAATTCAATGTATGGACGGAGCTCCACAGAGATGGTGAAGTGAGAATGCTAAAATTCGGTATTTGAGGTTCTCAACAATGGTTATGAAGAGTACTGTCTTCTGGGATTTAACATCTTGTAGTGTGTTGAAAGATAGCTGACGATTCAGAGGAACATATTGCCTCCATCTTCAGGGTCAAAGAATAAGCTGAGCAAGAAACCAGCATGAGCAGAGCTTCCTCTGCTTGCCACTTGCTTTCACACTGGTTACTTGCGCAGTTTATTCTCTGACCCTGAAGATGGAGGAAATATGTTCTTGCTTTACAGGTCAGAACTCTCAGTTGTGACTCTACAAGAAATGCTGTACTGTTCACAGTCTGGAGGAATTTTGTCATGTTGGAGTGCCAGCTTCATGTCCAGTAGGTCCCAAGCTCAGTCTCAGTCTCCAGAATGACTGTTGTGACTGAGGTTGCTAATTGTTCTCCTCAGTTCCCCCCAGCAAATTTCAGGATACTGCTTCAAATTAGGCTATGAGTGCTTACTTCCACATGCTTTGCAACTCACTGCTCACTGACCCTAGCCTCCAGTGCCAAACAATTTATCCTGTAGATGTCATTAATTTCAATGTAGTACAATTATTGTGTTTCCAAACATTATCCATTGGCCTATTTTTATATAAAACACATTTCAGAGACTAGATTCTGTCTCCATCTTCAGGTGGAACCTACTGATTTTGGCCCAATCAGTAGAGCTAGTCCTTATCTCAGGAAATAAGCATAGACACAAGATAGGATATATAAACCAAATACAGCACAAACCATCTGCGAGAGTTATGACATATGTTAAAAATGCTTATTAAACTCCACACATATGACGCCTAGCACTTGTGTACATGCACTGTTTCACAGCTTTTGTTGTTAAAAGCAGAGTACTATCAGAAGTCGTCAATAAAGAGAAAAATTCCACCTGAATATGGAGACAGAATTCAGTCTCCAAAAATGTTTTTTAAATAAAAACAAGACAATGAATAATGTCCAGAAACACAACAATTGTAATAATATACCATCATCACAGACTTTTAGATCTTATTTGAATGCAGTATGTTTAAAATTCAGTGTCTCTGTGGTTTAGTCAAGACAACTCTGTACTTCAACCAGTCTAGTTTGGAACCCATGTTCATTTGACTGTGAAACTGTAGTTTCAGTAACACTAAGCACTGTGAAACATACAGTTACATAGTTGCATGCCCATTGTGAGGTTGAGGTGAGGTGGGGAAGCACCAGTCATGCTACCTGCATTTGTTGCAGCATTCTCATTACTATGTGAGGATTGCACGCTTCATGCCACGAGTCGACACTGTCCAGAAACACAATACGGCAGCACGACGTCTCTTCATACGGGGTCACAATGGCAAAATATATCCATACCTGGTGGTGAATGACTCGGGCCTGGGTGACGCCCGGCGGGAGGAGCGTGTTCTGCAGCTGCTTCGGATGCTCAACCACTACCTGGGCAAGCAGAAGGTAGCTGTTGTTTTCAATCAGGAAGAATATTTTGTGCCTCACTGCACTGTTGCTTGGTACTAAGGCTTCCTGGTTGTCACATGACCAGAACACAGGCATTAGCTAAGTGCCTGCAGTGACACGAACTTTTACATTAATCTCAACTCTTTCCATGCTGCGGTCCCCCCCACATCAGTGCATTCATTCTTAAGTCTTCTTCACCATGTTAATCAAAAAGATAAAAGAAAAATGATAATATTAAAATTGATATGAGGATATGGACTGGACGCATCTGACTTAGGACGTGGATCAGTAGCAGGCTCTTGTGAATAAGGTAATGAACTTTCAGTATTATCAAATATGGGGAAATTCTGGAGTAGTTGAATAACCATAAACTTTTCAAGGGGTCGTCTAGAACGTTGAGTTACTTAATAAATTGGTGTTAAATGCTTAATAATTAACCAACTGTATAACCTAACCAGAAAGTAACAAAGTAACCAATCAAGAAGCAAACTAAACAGCCAATTATTAGTTGGCTAGTTTGTTTCTTGGTTTGTTAGTTGGTTACTTTGCTTGTTGACTGGTTAGTTATGTTGTTAATTAGTAGCCGGTTAATTATTTAGTTTGTTTTTTGCTTTGTTAATTTGTTAGCTTGGTTGGTTATAAAAAGATGTGCATCAGGGAATGACATGTGCCATCAGCCCTGATAGGGTCAGTGTGGGAAACAATGTTGTGTGTCGCAGGAAACATCACGCAGGTTCCTACACTTCACAGTTCCAAGGGTCGTGGCAGTCTCTCCACAGATGCGGCTCATCGAAGACAATCCTGCATCCGTCTCACTGCTTGACATATACAAACAAGGCTGTGCTCGTGTTGGACTCGAACATGACTCTCCTGTGCTCAGATACTATGAACGCCTTGCAGCCGTTCAGGTAAAATTCTTGGATATCTGAACATGATTGATGACAAAATAGAAAGGAATCACAGAGAAGGTACAGTGAGATACTCGGCAAACAAGATTACAGAAGTGGTCAGTAGATGTCACTGAATGTTATAATGGAGAGAAACATCTAATGAGGATCTTCACTATTTAAACATTGAGTGAATGATATTAAAAGGCTTACATGGACAGCTGTGTAACATGCATGCAGGAAACAGAAGATTTATGTAACATTTCTGTTGAAAAATGTTGATGAAGCAGATCATCAGGAAACCCTAAACGTAAGTCAAAGTATAATATTAAAATTGACCTTAATAAAATTGGTTGCGAAGTTGTAGAATAGATTGTACTGACTCAGATAGAGACCAGGGATGGGTTCAGTGATCAGCCTTCAGTCTCTGTAAAGGTAATCTCTTGATCCACTGAACATATGCTAAGTGTGTCATCTAGGTCTTCCTCAGGATCTTCTCCCACACACTGATTTCCAAGGTCAGGTGGTTACCATTTCTGGTTTGTATTCAAGGAGCTCCTGAGTACAGTCTGAGCCCGGTGACTGGCTATCCTGACAGATCATTTGTGATTTTGTTGAGTCCCCCCAGACAGATGCCCAGATAGCATCTTACTAGTCCACCACTTCCTTTGAAATCCTTTCCAGTTCATTATTCACTAACCATCTTGCCATTTGATGCTATTGTCACATGTCAGAGGACTACAAACACGGTTTGGATTGGTAATTGGATTTATTGACCACTTTAACCTACAACTCATGACTGCACTTCAGAAATCACCGTCACACACAGACTAGTGTTCTCAGTCTGTTACAGCCTCCACTAGCCTTTGCCTGGTAACAGCTTTCAACGGTGGACGTTCCCTTTTTTATATATATATATATCTTTTTTTTTTCGGTTAGTGGGGGGTGGAGTCCAACTGGTTCCACTCGGCACAGTGGCCACTGATTGGCCTATTGTAGCCTGCCCCAGGTGATTTTGATGATGGAGAATTTAGTGGAATGAAGATTGGCAGGGGAAACCGAAATACTTGGAGAATACCCACCCCAGCACCACTTTGTCCACCACAAATCTCACTTAACCAGACCCGGGATCGAACCCAGGCCACTGCGGTGGGAAGCCACCAACTAACCGCTTGAGCTGTGGCGCAGCCGGACATTCCCCTTACTCTGGATTCTTGAACTACTCCTGTGCCTCAGCTACCTGCTTCCAACAGTGACAGATCACAACAACTGACTGACTGCTCACCAACCAACTCGCTTTACTCTACTGCACTCACTAACTGAACTGATCTCGGTCAGTTGAGTCATATAGGTTTGTAGCAGACCTACAGAGAACACTGCTTGCAACACTTCTATTGTTGTGTGATGTCACCATGTATGTGATGCATTCCTCTGCTGATGGTGTACAGGCCATTACCTAGCAACAGGTCTACTTTCTACTAGGCTATGTAATCTGAAGTGCTAACCCTAAACAGACAGACAAATGCTCCCACTCAGCTGCATTCCGTTTGGCTTCTTAGAAACTTTCTGTTTGCTTGTCCAAAATCATTGCAGTGTCTTTTTTCCATAGAAGCTATGTGCACCTGAATGTTCACTGGCCACGAAACAGCAGCTGCTTTCATCTGTTATGTATTTTCCAGGCTCGGGGATCACAAGCAAGTCATCAGGTCCTGAGGGACATCTTGAAAGATGTTCAGTGCAATATGGTGCCTCGCTCTGTGGTCAGAGACTGGGCAGTCAGGACTTTCCCTGCAGCTACAGATTACTGGATGTTCCGCAAAATGGTGAGGAACACTTTGGACTGGCTTAAAATAGCTTTCCATATGATTCATCTTGCTGATTAACTAATTTTCTGGTAGTAGTACTGAATGATCACTGCCACTGGACATGACCCCGTGCCAGTTCCATCCACCTCCCACCATTTCCCTAAGATTCATCTTACTAATTAAATCTCTGGTAGCTGAACCCCAAGATTCAATACTGTGAATACCAAACCATGTCACTGGACACGATCGTGAGTCGTCTGTCTCCTGTCTTCACCTTCCAAAAAGTTTCATCACAAAATTGTGTATACATTTCATATCTTCTGAAAGCAGCCATTTCCTGTCACAATGTTGCAGTTCACACTTCAGCTGTCACTGGCATGCTTTGCTGAGTATGTCCTGCATCTCACTCGGCTAAACCCAGATATGATGTACATTCACCAAGACTCTGGCCTTGTCAATGTGTCATACTTCAAGTTTGATGTGGATGACACCACAGGTGAGTGTCTCAGTTGTTTATGTTTATCCACTGGCAGTATTGCTGTCCTTGCATGTCACATGAATTATTGGATCCTTCACATCTTGGTGCTGCCAGCTGTCAGGCTTCAAGAATTTTCTGTATCTCTGACATTATGAATATTGGCTAGATAATTACAGGAGTAGATTTTAACACCCTTTGACTGCATTTTAACATAGAACCTCTTTATTACAACCGTCACAACACAACAAATATCAAGATCAGTGCCTAGTTTCGGCTCTGCTGCATGTTTCGCCTATCAATAGCCATCATCAGGCAAATATATGGTTAACATATATATATATATATATATATATATATATACNATATTTTTGTATATAAAATTGTATAGGAGGTTCGTGATGTAGATGTAGTAAATTAATGCTAATTGTTTAGTCGGTGCCTCATCTTAAGTATTGTCCGTTCTGTAGGGAATGTAAACGACTTTAACACTTTGAAACCTGAAGTTCATTGAAGTAACAGTTGAAAATTTGTTTCCTGCCTCTCAGAAACCACAGTGCAGCTCCACTTCAAAGACCAGCTGGTTAATGCTGCAGGGAAACAACCATTCATTGTTCTGAGGATTGTGTGAAATATATATAGACACTTTGTAAGCAAAAAATGAATTGTCTGAATGGCATCAGGTGGCACATTTGGCTCCTGCCGTGCTTTAGTGGGTTAAGCTACTGACTGAAAGTCCTCATTGTTAAGCAGTGGTTATTTTTATCAAATATGCCATGATATGTGGGTGTTTTTTTTTTCTTTTGGTTTTGAGGTTTTCATTGCAGTGACTTTGAGAAGGATTGTCTTCTGACACGTGATGCGATGTAGTCTGGTAGAAATTTATCAGTTTTTAGAGAAACATACTTCCTCCATCTTCAGGAAGTTATTTCTTGCTGATTGCTTGATTCACTTACCCCTTGGCCCTAAAGATGGAGACAGTATGTTCCTCTGAAACACTGATAAACTTTTACCAGACTACACAGCATCATACCCCAGAAAATAGTTCTCTTCTCTTAATTTTTTATTTATCTCATATGAGGGTAAAAAGGAAAGTTGCTTTCACAAATGTATTTCTCCCAGAGCTTACATAAAAGCGATGTATTACACATTCAGTATTTTGGTCCATACTAAAGTCACTTTATCACATAATCTCCGTGTACATTGAGAAATTTATTCCAAGAGCACACCAGTTTATTGATGCTGTCTTGGAAGAGCTGTGTGCCCTTTGTGTGGTGTCTGCACTTATTGCTTCCATGACCTTAGAATATGGTTTGAATCAACAGCCTGCAAGACATCTTGTCAGTGGCCCAAACAGGTGGTAGTCGCTTGGGGCTAGATCAGGACTAATAAGATGTATGCTGCAGAATCTTGAAACCAAACTTTTGCAGCCAGTTTGCTGTTCATGAAAGTAACTTTTCAGTCTGCCCTTGTATTGCTGGAGGAATACTGAATTGTAATGTGCCGCCTAGACCTGACCTGGAAGGGTCAGCTGTTCAGCAAGAAGTGGGGTGCAGAGGATCAGATCAAAGGGACTAGGAAGGCTGATATAGTAGCAGAGAGTGGTTGTGCTGTAGTGGGCTGATGTCCACAGATGTTTGGGAGACAGTGGATTTGAACTTCAAACTGAGGATATTCTCAGATATAGATTTCATTGATCATTAGTTATAATGAGTAAGAACATTCGGGGAGATAAACTTTCCAGCCTAGTAATTGTTACAAAGGTCATACAGCAGGGCAAGCACGGGATAGGGATGATGATTACTGCCAGGCCAAGTGTAAACAGTGTAGATCACCTTCCATGTCTTGCCCCATTGGTATCGCCACAGCAAGTTGTCAACAGATTTCACTGAAGTAACAAAAGAAGGTTAAGGGGCCAAGCAGTATGGCCTTCCTGTATTTTCACTGAAATTCTGATTGAATCAAAATGATTAGGTAGGTCACACAAATTGGTTCAGAAACAAGATTATATTTTGCGAGGGAGAAAGTCGGCATACAGTATTATTGCTTTTAGTGATTTAATCACAACGGAAAGTCACAAGAAAGTACCTTTTAGATTGGCAACCGTATCTTGTCTGTACATCTTTATTGAGACGCTTGTAAACTGCTGAATGGATTTTCATAAAACTTGACAGTGGGGAATTCTGCTAAAATTTATTGACACATATCAATTTTGATTATAATAGGAGAACAGACACATCACATGAAGATCCACATGCATTTCTCTCTGCATCTTGAGTGCAACTCACTAATGTGAGTTTCCAAGTAGAAGTCACAGAGGAAATATGGAACCCACATTTCATGCACAATACACTTTTTGTGTAGGTAATGTACATAACCAGAATTGAAGAAAGCAGTCTGCTGGGATGTGGCACCTTGTAGATGTGGTGTTAACCAACGTTCCTCCGAAACATTGGTTAACACCACTGTTTTCTTCATAGTCACCGCTGTGAAAACCTGAAATCTTACATAACCAGAATTGTTACAGTATGTGTACATTTCGTAACTTGTATTTCTTTCTTTGAGTGGATGTCCAATATGTCAACCTCCATTATGGTGTCAAGGTCCAGCAGATGGTTCTGGATGGGTTGAGTTCCTTAGCGCGGATGGTAAGGATGAATGTGACATGTTTTCCAATGTATGCAATACAGGTGACCTGGATGCCAACCGCCCTGTACCATTTAGACTGACGCCCAACATCCTCGAGTACCTGAGCACTATTGGAATCAACGGGCCCCTGACAGCCAGTATGATTGCTGCAGCCCGCTGCTTGGTGCAGCCCAGCTTCAAGGTGCAGACAATCTTGAGGGCCATTCTGCGTGACGAGATGATCGCAGGACACAGGAAGGTGAGGACAGACTTGTGCCTTGTGGCATGAAGCATTGAGACAGATGTGGGCAGTTGATACATGTCAGCAGACTGAACCCAACTATTTTGAATTGTTTCATATTTGGTCCGTTACACTATCAATCACAAATTGTCAATGAATAATCCGTCGAGTGTAACAATGTTTTTAGGTCACTTATTTATTTCACTCGCCTTACATGTTTCGGTTTAAAATAAACCATCATCAGAGGCACGTTTACAAACACATGAAACCACTGGCGTTGTATAATGTACACAGTATGTAAGCTGCGTGAACACTACTACAGATATCGGAGTGTAAAAGCACAACACTTTCTAGTAGCGTTGAATGCACGTACAATTCTTGCATTCCATCCGAAGAATGCCCTCAAATTGAGCTGTCAATGTGTCTTACGCGTTGTGTGTTGTGTACTGTGAGTACACAACACACAACGCGTAAGACACATCTGACCAAAAGCATACACAACCTCAAGTTGACGATTCCCATCACCGGGACGAATCAATAAGAAGGAACCGTACATTTTATTTCAAATGTTTTAAACTTTTAAATATTTTAACATTGACAGCTCAATTTGAGGGCATTCTTCGGATGGAATGCAAGAATTGTACGTGCATTCAACGCTACTAGAAAGTGTTGTGCTTTTACACTCCGATATCTGTAGTAGTGTTCACGCAGCTTACATACTGTGTACATTATACAACGCCAGTGGTTTCATGTGTTTGTAAACGTGCCTCTGATGATGGTTTATTTTAAACCGAAACATGTAAGGCGAGTGAAATAAATAAGTGACCTAAAAACATTGTTACACTCGACGGATTATTCATTGACAATTTGTGAACCCAACTCTTTGTCACCATTGCCACAAACATCTGTGAGCCAACCTCAGCCTTGTGTCTTCACAACCCATATGCTGAAGATCCTGTTCTGTGCCGCAGTCTCCCATTATTTTATCTCTTGAGGTTTTCTACAAAGAAATTCTATCCATCTCATCATCCTCCTACAATTTCTTTGTTTTTCCTTCCTTCTATGTGACATCTTCCCTAACTTGCTGTCCTGATTATGAGCTGTCTTCCTCGTGGGCATTTTCCTTTTAGTTTCATATTCAAAACCTTCAGTATTCTGTCTTTGTTTGCTCTTAAAATATGCCCATACTATCATATTTTATATATAAATTTATCTTCTAGTATATTCATCTGCAATTTCTCTCATATTTTTATGTCTCCCCCCCCCAAGTTTTGCCATATTTCTTAAAACTTTCATCTTGTCACTGTTAGCCTAATGGTATCTGTGAGTATGATGTAAGGCAGTGCTTGTCAGGGTGTGTGCAGCAGGGACCCAGTCTCTTGCTGCTTCCTGGCGGCTGAGGTCTCACAAGTACCCTGGATATGAACAGCTGTGGCGAAGCTGGGACACACCTAGCAAGTCTGTAGTGGATTTTGGAACTGCTACCAACAAATAAGGTGTTACGTGTTCATTTCGAACTCAAAGGTTCATCACCATGATTACAGGGGCCCACCGTTGAACTCTTTTCCATGAATCTCACTCTGTTGACATCTTCACATCTTCAGGATCCATTTTAACATTTTCACAATTTTTGAGCAACCACAGACGCGTTTTGGATTGATGATCAGGTTTATTGGACTCTTACAAAATGTAACTACAAATAACCACAAAAGTCTCACTCAGTTACACACTCAAAAGATCACTGTAACTACAGCACACATTAAGTCTTCTCAGTCTTCACTAGCTGTTGCTTGGTAGCAGCTTCTAACAGCAGACGTTCCCCTTTCTCTGGGTTATTGAACTGTCCCTGACCTCAGCTACAGCAACTCTAGACTAACTCCATTGAACTTGACTTGACTCAACTAACTCACCAACTGAAACTCCTAGCTTGTCCCACTTATAACATCTGGGCACGGACCACACAGAAAACACTGTTCCTCATTGTTGTAGTTTAACTGTTACACAGTAATGGCTGTTGTATATTTACTTATCTCATGGTCCTTGCCCAGCAGCAGATCTACATGCCACAGTATTATCCAGCCACCTACAGGTGGTCTCTTCAGGTTTCCTAGCTGCCATTACATGTGTATTTCTTGTTTCTTGTATACATTCTACAAACCCCTCCCATGTCAGCATTCTTGATATGATCCCTCTAATAGTATTAGGTGAAGATACAAACTGAAAATTCTCATTATGTAATTTCTTTCCATTCTTCAGTGACTTCATCTTGTTTAGGCCCAAAGACTCGGGACAGTGGCAGTGATTGCTTCCGTTTTCCTGCCAGTCATCATTCCACCATTCCTCTGTGCTCATTTGTCAGGCCCTACCAGCCAGCACATTATCACATTGTCACGCACTGTTGGGGCTCCACTTCTGATCTGACACTTGTTGATTTCAAAATCTAAAAGTTAACTTTGCCCTTTGAAGTCTTTTAAGTTCATCTAAATGTTGAAGAGTCCAGTTCCTGCTTCACAGAAAATGCACTGTTGTATCTTCATTACAGAGACAAATCAGTTAATGTCGTACACAGAAATAGTGGCTGTTTATTATGAGAATACTGTCGCGCATATGGAGTGACTATAGACAGGGGTTGGACTGGCAATCAGATTTACTGAACACTTCATTGTTCACACACACTAGTGTCCATTAGTGTCACATCTTCACTGCTGTTGCTTGGTAGCAGCTTCCAACAGCGGACATTCCCCTTCCCCTGTGGGTTCCTGAACTGACCCTGGCCTCAGCTACCAGCTTCTCACAACAGCTGAACTCCAGTGATTATCTAATTTGCCAACTCGCCAACCAGCTGACTGCCTGCAGACTCTCTCTTGACTGACTAACCATCTCTAGACTTGTCCTGCTTATAACATCTCCGCACAGATCACATAAAAAACACCGCTTCCCAGTACTGTTGCATCAAATTATTGCCATGGAAACATGCTTGTTTGCAGAGCCGTTACTCAATAACAGTTGTCTCTGCTGGCTTCAGTTCTTGCCTTGAGCAAATATGCCACAATATAAACACATAAATACACTGTGTGCAGGAGGTACATAGTGTTACCACCCTGCTTGAATGGGTTTACTTCTGATATACAATCTCAAACCTTGACGTGTCATGAAACTGTGTGTATCATGCTGCAGAAACAGGATGACTGCCAGCATGAGTCGCTAAACTCTGCACCAGCTGACATGGAGGGGGAGCTGCTTATCAACATGGTGACTCGCGCTGTTACGGCCATCATGTCACGACTCAACACCCTCTCCAACTCTGATGTGCCTGAGAGCAAGGTACAGTTAAGTTCTCTCTCAGTCAGTTTATACCTGAGCTAAATAAAGTATATCTTTAAGCAGACTCAAACTCATATAAAATAGGCACACATCTCTTGAGGCACCAGTGGGCTGCTGTAGACTTGTATTTGGAGTACTTGGTTCGGTTCTTGGCCAGGACACCGGCAGTCCTGCAATTCTTGAAGATTTCCGCAGTCCCTCCAAACAAGTGTCAGAATAGTACCTGAAATAGACCACAGCCACTTCCTTCCAAATCTGTTCCAGCTCATCTCTCATCCAACCATTCTGCACTATGTAGAGCAGCTAATAACAGCATTGTAAAATAACCCATAAAAGGAAACTACCTTGCGGAGAGGAGAAAATGACATTTTGATACACAGTGGCAACAGCACTGGTACATAGTAAACTTTAGTCTGTCAGGTGACAGAATTAGCAGTGAGCAGCTCATTAAAATATTGGTTTTATGAAACCACATATTAAATTAAATGTTAATATATATTATTTCATTAGGTAAGCACTTTGGTGACGGCAGCAAACAGTCACGACAACCTGTGCCGGATGGATCCAGCGTGGCATCCGTGGCTGTAACTGTACACGACTGCCACATGTGGAGCACACAGCCTTCTTTATGTGCAGTGTACTGTGATACTCTCTTCAAGAGTCTACTGTTTGCTTGCAGGTGTTAAAAACTATACAGGAGTCATGAAACTGATCATTACTGTGGACAGTTTCCGTGTCTGGAAGCATTAAAGTATGGGGGGGGCAACATAAGTATTCCATTATAAAGTACAAAGTCAGTTTAAATATGAAGGGCCTTGAAACTGACAAAGTAAGACACACTGAATGAAAGTAACGGCTGAACAGGATATGACTCTTATCCTTCCAGTTGTAAGGTTTCTTTCATCTGATGACCCCTAGAGAGAGGGGAGGGCCTTCTTTACAACCAGATTCAGTCCACAACACAACAACTGAACTAATTACAGTCGCTGTATCCACTTTTATGATAATGTTACAATTGTACTGGTGAAAAGCAACATCCCCAAGCAATATGTCACAAAAATACACATATATGGAGAATCCAATGTGCAGTTTATTTCCTTCTTCTTCTTCCTTCAGTGTTCTCACTGTTATGGGGTCATCCAGCAACCAATCCTATCCATCTGTCTCTGTCTTCCCAAAGTTGCTTCATGTCACGTTCTTTCTTCCCTCATTTGTGATACCTTCCCTAACCTGGTGTTCCCATCTTAAGGTTTGTTTTCTTCTTGAGCATTTTCCTTTTATTTTCATGTTCAAACCTTCCTTAATATTCTGTCTTTGTTATTCTTAAACATAACTCTACATGCCTATTCTGTTATTTATTGGTTCATCGTTCAATGTTCTTATCTTTAAGTTCTATGTTTCCATTTTTTATTCTCTTTCCCTCTTGGATTCTCCTTCTGTACTTCTCAATGTCATGTGATGTTAGTCCACTAATATCTGCCTTTGTCTGTAGCAGTTAAATACATGTTTAAGATTCCTAAGTCAGCAACTTCTATTTTTCACAGTAGAAAAATCATCTGCTGATGTGCCTTTTTATTTTCTAATACACATTTAACAGGTAAAAATTTGCAGAGGCACTTGAAAACAAAATGTGTTGACCACATATTGTCAGAAATCTCCCAAAATGACTTGCTAACATATGCAAAGTTGGTAATACAGCCAAGTTTGTTTTGTGGATTGTACCTGGAGATGACAGCACAAGAGGGCAAGCCAGACAAAGTCTAATGTTGTAAGCTGCATGACACTAGATTTCACTGGTGATCCTGTGCCATGGACAGTGCTCTAGAGATATCTGGACACATACTTGAACAAGACTTATCATGTATGTGATCAGACTGTGGATGTCTGGGTCATGACACCATACAGTGTAGGTGGACACTGGCAGTTGGAAGGATGATGGTGTCTCCATCTTGAGAGCACATACCACAGTTTGAACAGTGAACCTCTATGTACTGACTTTGGAGACACTTCCAGAAGTGGTATGTCACAGCTTGGACCAGTCAGGACCCTTGCTTGAAATTAGTATATTTGCAAGCAAATGTGAAACAAGTGCCCCCCCCCAAAGTGATTAGTTGTTCTCTGTGTCAAAGAATGCAGCATTTTGTATGAAATGACAAGACTGGTTTGTAATAAAGTTGTCCATCCTTAACAGGCTAAATACCTCTCGTCTACCCCTCTCCCAGCCAAGCCAGTGCTCCTTCCTCGATTTGATACCTAAAAATAGGCTATCCAGAATGAGGAATTGTGTGATTTTCCTCAGTTCATTTTCATGGAAAGAAAGAATATAATGTTAAGCTAAACACTGCCAGTTAAGAGTAGTCCTCTGAGATGTGATGCCATGTAGCTTGCTACTTAGGTATCAGTGTTTCACAGGAACATGTTGCATCCATCTCCAACCCAAAACCAATAGGAACAAGATGAAATCTGTAAAGAGTAGTGACCTTTAAAAGCTTTGTATTCTGGGGCCAGAGTGACTCAGAGAAACAGTGGCTCTAAATGAACCAATAGGAAGTAGAGGGAAGTAGGTGAAGCAGAGTGAGGAGCCAGTGGACCACCTTCAGGTTCCTAGTGCTCGACTTTCCTATGCCCATACCCAGCTTAATGTGCTACCTTGAAAATGGAAGCAGCACTTTCTCTGAGATCACATCCCAGAGGATGACCATCTTTGAATTTCAGTAAAGTCCAGGGTTAGATCCACAATAAAATATGTCCAGAAAATAAGCGCATTTACTGAATTTAAAGGACTAGAGAGCTGTTGAGAGTGATTACAGGTCCCCCTATAAAAACTTATAACACTGACACAAAACAGAAAAATCCCACAAATTTCCAAGGCTGTAGTAGATGAACTTTTGTATCTGTCTGTGACACACAAATTTGTCATTAATTTTTCTATAAATTATTCATTATACAAGAGTTGGTACATGACACAAAATATAAATCTCATCAAGATTCTCATCTCTTGCGCCACAATGTTTTGATATAAGCAATTTTTGGCTGTAAGCAGTGTGTTGTCCAGCGTGATTAGCCTTAGCTGCATATTTGTGCACTTGTGTAGTGTTTCATGGAATCGGCACAGCCTAGGGATCCCCCCCCCATACATTACACCTCATACACCCACATCCCACTGAATGCCAATCCTAAACAAATCTGAAGTGTTTCTCTGTATCTACTCAGTGCTGCTACATGCAAAACTGAGTGTAGCAAGTATCAGAACTTATATTAAAGTTAAATTGCATAACTTTCAAATTAGCAGAAGGCTGAAGAGTTCTATCTTCTAGACTATGAAGCCATGTGGTCCAATGAAAGTCAACAAATGTTTCAGAGGAACATCACCATCTTCTGGGTTAAAGAATAAGCCAATCAGGAAAACAGCAAGCAGCATACTCTGGTGTTCACACATCCACATGGCACGAATAATTGGAGCAGTTCACATGGAGTTTGCATATCAATCTTTTCTTCCCAGTTGATTCGGACCGAGGTTACACCAAGGAAAATGGCAATACAGTTTTCTCAATTTGCGTTGTTCCATTCACTAACATGTGTTGAACTCATCCCTATAAAGAGTTCTTTGAAATTGCGGTTGCGTTGCGATTGCCAGTTTCCTTCGTGTGCCCTCGCCCTTAATGTGTCTTCATGTGCGTTATAAATAACACAATAATAATTTATTTTCTGTATATGAATATTGAACTAAACGCTTCGTCTCCAATAGAAGCATGTTTACCAACAGTTTCGATTACCTATGCAGGGAAATGAATCTTTTATAAAATGCTATTGATCACCATTAAGAAAACAATACTTTTCGGGTGGGGTACACAGAGATGCACTGGTTCGTAATGAGACGGTCTCAGTGGTCTCAGTCGTCTCAGTGACGGAATATACAAGTACAGCTTGGTTCAATACTTTCCTCGTGTTTGCACTGAAATGGGTGGCGTTGTTTATCGACTTGTACATATGCAAGCTAAAATAAATATCATTACTGTAATTTAGAAACGTATTTAAACATTGAATATTAATGATCAGAATTAAGATGAATCATATCTTAACGGAATTACTCGCGTGTATCCTGCTCGCAATATAACGGAACAAGACATCTTTTGAAAGCGGAAAACAAACATGGAGGACAAAGAGTTTTTAGATCGGACTTTTGCTCTGAAACGCTCCGCTCAAAAACTTTTGTAGAAAGCGCTTATTAAACCGCAAGCCGCACAGAGATGAACATAAAATGGCGATTATTAGAACGCGGCTTAGTGATAATGGAGTGGTGTGGAAGAATCGATTCTGAGTGGAAGAAGTAATTGAAGGATAGAAGTGACGCTTTTAAATAATTTTAATAGGAAAACTAGTGTCTCTCCACCAGTAATTATTTTGTCCTTAAAGTCTTGCTAAACCTTCCATTTTAAAGTCTTTCGAAGGAAAAATATTACGATGTGTGAAGCCGAAGAATTCATTACTGCATTAGTGCCCTAAATAGTGATGTCATTACACGGTGAAAAAAGTGCGAATGATACTTCAGGGGTGGGAGAAGGTATCGCTGGTGGTGATTGTACGTAAGTGACATCAGATTGATGTGGTATTAGTATATAATGAAGTAGCATGATAGTGATGTCCGTACGGTCGTAAGTTTACAATTTTAAAGACTAGTGTCGGCCACGTCGCCCTGTGAATAAAATCGAAACTTACGAGGTTCGAGGAAGAATTGTTTTGTTTTGGCTTACATAGTGTGGATCATTAACCCTTTAATTTTGTTACATGTAATGTATTATGATACAAAAAGAAAGTTTAAAGAAATGTGAAATAAGAATTGAAGATTTGTAGTGATATTTTAATAATTGTTACATGATTAAGATGGCTTCGCATGATACCAAAACAGTATTTGTAAACAAAGAAAAATATGCGTTTGCAGTCAAATAAGGTAATTGTATGTGGAGATGCTTGCGGAGAATAGTAATTATTTATATTATATTGTGACCCTGTAATGCGTTATATCAAAATAGATATGTACACATAAGGGTACACTGAAAATTATAGACCGAATTTACGACTGTTTACATTGCATTCCTCACAGGTGTTTGCTAGAACAGAAAATATTACTGTATTCACGGTTATATAATTTCTCAAATGCTGTATTATTGAATGAGAATGTGAAGGATGCATATTTTCAAAAAAATGAAAATCCATATAATTTTCCATATGTGTATTAACTAATTAAGCACTACACCATGAAGGAGTATGTGGGAGTGGATGTATAGATCCACATTTTCTTGACTTTGGCACTAGCTGGAAGTGAGTGGTCAGCTTCACGCCCTGGTCGCTTTACCCCCAGAGAAAGATCCCCCACTACCCATTGATGGGAGGTTGGTTGGATCCCAGAGCCTGTATGAATGACGTGGAGAAGAGAAAATTCTTGACCCTACCAGGACTTGAACTCTTACCCTTTGGTTGCCCATAGCCAGTTGCTATACTGACTGTGCTATCCCTGCTCCTTCTGTAGGTATATTTAGTAGCTTAATTAATGAAATGTCACCCTATGAAGACCTTTGGCGAGGTGGAGGTAGAACACCATTCTTGACATCAGCACTAGATGGAGGTGAATGGTCAGCCTGACACTCTGGTTGCTCTCCCCCCACCCCCAGGGGAAGAGCCCCTGGTACACACTGGATAGGTTGGGTGGGCCCCAGAGCCAGTCTTGATGCTGAGAAGAAAGGAAAAAGATCTTGCCCTGCCTGGGACTCAAACTTTAGGCATTTAGCATATAATCTATTGCCGTGCTATGTATGTATAGTGACACATTTTATGTGCATCTTTAATTTTTTTGATTGATTTAGTGGGTGGTTTTCAGTTGTAATTTCAGTCTGTGTTGACCCCCCCCCCCCCCCCCCCANAGAACACAGCTATGTCTTCAGTTTTGTGTATTGTTCATACATTTTTCTATAGTGAAAATTACAGCCATTCCTGAATTCTTGCTGGCATCTATTTAGTTGCTATGTTTGTGTTGTAAAATACAGTATTGCTGCCCCTGGTGCATATACACTTCCAGCTATACACCAGTATTGTATAGCTGAGACTGCAAGTGGGGTCTGCAGCTTGTCTTATTGAGTGCCCAATGGTTGTGCTCACAGCACATTTCTCTATTGGAGGCACAATCTCGCTCTTATTACATATGCCAGACTTCTTGGAATAAACTTAAATTTATGACCTAGCAAGCAAAAAAAATCAAGAATCAGAGCATGCAAACTGACCAGCATTCATCGGTGACTCTACAGCCCTTTGTTGGGCCCTGGCCACTTTTTCAGTTGCTTAATCCTATGCACACTCAGTAGGACTGGATGAGTGATCAGCCTGTTGCAAGGCCACTACCTATACACAGGACAGCAAAAACAGATAAATGCACACAGACATCCATGTCTCGTATGAATTTGAACCATGGCTCTAGTGTTTGAGCAGGTGAAGACAGTTCATTCCACAAACTGCAGGGACACCATGATGAGTATCACCAACTTAATATCTGTTAGTAATTTCATTTCAGAGATAAAACTGTTGTGACCTTGGGATGGATAGGTTGACAGCGCTGTGCTCAACACACAACTGTAATTGAACCAACAAAGTCAAATATTCCTTCGTTACATTATGGCATCCTGCCATGTTCTATATTAAACTGAATTCAACGATGTGTTTTGTTGTGCTGAATTACATTACTTAATTTTTGTGTTTTACATCCTGTTGTGTATGGTTATTAATGTGTATGTTGGGACCATTGACAGAACAATGATGAGGAGGTTACAGTTTCTACTGACTGGGATATGTACGTATATATCAGTATTTCAGTTGATTTATTAAATGATTGTTGTGCTACACATTTTGGTCCTATGCCCATCTTCAGGCTTGTATAAATAAAGCTGAGCTGAGATTGTATACATAAAAACATTCTAACTTAATTAGCAAGGGGCCCTTTCTTTTGATATGGAGTATTTCCATTGTTTTGTCTGCTGTGTCTGGTATGTGTTGTGCTAATTTAGAATTTGGTTTGCTAATCTTTATTGCTTGGATATGCTCCTTAAATCATGTTCGAAAGTTTCTGCCTGTTTGTCCAATGTATTTGAATGGCCATTTGTTAATGACCTACTAACTAAACTGCCCAAACATCTAGACACACACTTCCATATATTTTATTAAATTGTGAACTATAATTTAAGAAAATGTTATATCACTGAAAAATTTCGTAGAATATTTACGAGACATGGCAATGGACCCATTGCACCACACAGCCCAGCAATGGGTATTGGTACATTTATTTATTTATTTATACTTGTCTGACAATGGCCATAGGACAAAACATGTAACATGACAGCCGTTTAATAAATCAACTGAAATATTGATATAAATGTCCCAGTGAGTTACTTAATGAACTGTAACCCCCTAATTAATTTTTGTGTTGACAGTCCCAATATACACATTGAGCTGAGCCCTTCTTGAGAAGCTGCCAATTGTGCCACTACTCAAGAATTTTTCAGCATTTTATGGGACCCAAAAGTTCATTACCGTGTTCACAAGAGCCCTCCACTTGTCCCTACGCTGAGCCATATCAATCCAATCCATACCATCCCATCCTGTCTCTCTAAGATCCATTTTAATATTGTCAGCCCACCTATGTCTTGGTCTTCCCATCGATATCTTATATGCATTACGCCTCTCCACCATTCGTGCTACATGCCCTGCCCACCTCATCCTCCTTGACTTGATCATTCTAATTATACTTGGCTTATATGATCCATGGAGACAGTAGGTTCCTCTGAAGTGTAGTTACGCTTCTACCAGACTTCACGGCATCACATCCAGAAGACAGTGCTCCTCAAATCTGTCTGACTGCATGTCTCAGGGTCTGCTCTGCAGTTGGTCAGGAAATTGTCTTCTTTGTATGGAATATGAATCTTCATCAGCGACTAGCACTCATCTTATCTAAGTACAGTTGTGACCTTACTTCCGTATTTGCATTTCAGGTATTCTATCTGTTTGTTGCTTCAGGTGCATATCTGAAATGTCTTGTCATTCTGCTGATGTATGCACAAACAGTAGGTTTTGGTATCAGAAGAAGCCCATTTTAGTTATGAGTTCATTTTTCTCAGTAACCATTGAAGTCTTAAAATTAAGAAACGTGAATGTTCCATTTCAATTTTGAAGATTACTGTCTACTGGAGTGTGACACCGTGTAGCCCTGTAGGGGTTTACTTACATGTCCACCTACAGTGTGCCACTCTGAAAAAGGAGTCAGTGCATTCCTCTGAAACATAAGACTTCTGCGAGGCTATCTGCAGGTGTCCCATCCCAGAAGTAGTCACTGCTGTAAGGATCTAAAATCTCACGTTTTGGTCTTTTCAAGAAACCACATCATCCCTTTTCCTTCTTCTGAGCTGTGTTACAGGCCCAGCAGTGTAACTGTTGCAATTGCCATACTGTCACAAAAACCTTCATTTCACATTGGTTCCTATTTAGCATTAAGGGGAGATGGTAAGATGGGTTGGGTCAAAAATGTTAATTCTGGTACTTTGCAGTCAAATTTCTGTTAGTGTAATATTATTTTATACTGAAACCCATACAGGGGCATGAAAACTGATTTAGTTAAATGTCAGATGGCAGGTGGCTGCACACCTCCATTTCATTTATACATCTTTTAATGAAAATCGGTTATTTTATAGTTCCAGTGAGCCACGGGAATTTCTGCAGAGGGTAGAGACATTTTGATAGTGGTGGGTGATGGGTTTTTCAGTTCTTATGTTTTTATTTGCACGAACATAGCATTTTATCTTTTCAACCATCTTCCTGTAATGTGTTGTTTGTAATCAAGTACTGGTGTCACAGAAATTGTGTGTTATAGTTGAAAAACTTGTCTTTTAGAAGACAGATTATTACAAAATGTGTGCACTGTAAGAAGAGGTCAGTAAAAAAAAAAAGGTAAAAGTAAAGTGAAGGTATCCCTGTAACAGGCCGTGGAGGCCCATAGGGTTGTGAGATGTTGAGGTTCCCACATTTTGTAGACAATCGGCTCACAGATGGTGGTAAGGTTGTTAGTCCTACATGCCGGCTGCCCTTTACCTCCAAGAATATTGCTGGTACTCATTTATGTTAGAGGCTTAATCGACCCCAGGGCCATAGTGCGGCTGGAACGATTAGGAAAATTGAAAAAATCCAGTGACCTCATCGGGATTCGATCCCGCAACCTATGAGAAGAGGTCAGTGAACACAAAAACATAAGTACTTGTGTACCAGATTTAAAGACTGTAGAGATATTTTAAGAGAACTGTACCTTAATATGACAAAATTAGGATTGTGGAGATCAGGCTTGCCACCTCCCTGTGAGAAACTCTGCGTTTTGCCCACACTGTATATACAAGGTCGAGCAAATAAATTTCAGGACTAATTTCTTAAAAATTTATTTTAAGAGCTGCAGATATTAGATATCTACAGCTTTTCAGAGTAATCTCTTACCAGTTCTATTCAATGTTCCAAAACCTTTTCACAGATTTAATGACCTCAATGTCCAAGAAGCGGT